ATGAAATCTGTGGTCATAATAACGCTGTTTGTGGTCGAGTTGACGGCCATACGACTGTTGAAAGTCCAGGCGCTCCTATTGCCCGTATCCAACACCTTGTGGTCGATCACTGTATAGATCTTTTGATTGATTGGTTCCACGTATTGGCCGTAATCGGGCGGATAGTATATGATCTGATTCTTCCACATATTCAGGTCCAACATCATTACGCCAACTATTATACCGTAATTAAACCATTTGCCTACCGGTGCCCAACATTACACACAAAACCAAAACATTAGAATTTAGTTTCAATTTATAGTGTTATTCTAAAGTGCTTTAGAATAACAACACTTAAAAATTATAGATATTTTTAATGAAAACATAACGTGAAGATTGCCATAAATTTTCAAGTTTAAGACATAACTAAAAACAATAAAACAAATATTTCATAAACACATCGAAAAACTTTAACGAAATGTTAATGAAAATAAATACAAGAATATTCTATAACAGAATTTCTGTGAATTTGGTAACAAAATATTGCTAACAAAAATAGCGTGTCGTAGAGATAGTTATAATAATAATGATAATAATCATAAATTTTCTATAAAATAAAAACTCATTTCACGTAAAAAGCGTAATACATAACAGAAAACAAACACATTTAGCAGAAAATGTGTTATGAAAGCGATTAAATAAATGTCTAGTACTGTATATAGATGTCAAAAAACATGTTATGAAAGTTGCATTAAAAACAATGCAAAATGTGTCCATTTGTTTACCTGTGATGCGAAAAACCATTTCAGGGAATTTGACGGACTGTTTGAAGAATTTCAATGTATAGGAAGACTGCACTAAACCGGGAAGTTTGATGTTTAGATCGCATACAAAGTGTGGAAAGTCCCAGTCCTTCAATGCAAACATAGTTAACATATAATTAGTATTAAATCTTATTTTAATATTTATAATAATTGCTAATTATAATCGCACACGAAATAAAAATGTCCTGTTATTTATTCATTTAACACATATTCAAAGCGCTTATTGCGTAAATGTACACACAATTTGTGTCTATTTTTATTCAAATCAATGATAATTTACTTTTCATTTTGAATGTTGTGTCTAATTATTTACACAAAAATCGTCTTTTAATGCTATAAATTTAGAAATTCTTTTCTCTGAAAAATAATTTACATTAAAATATTATTATTATTATTCATTTCAATCCAAAACACACACAGAGAATATAATACACCATTCACTGCCCACGCATACAATTTCCATACATATTATATCTCAATTCAAAGGCATTTACAGATTAATCAATTAAATGAACGGACAGTCGGAGTGTCTATAGATATATCGTAACCAAATCTAAGCGTAAACAATATTCAAATCCAAAGCTAAACATACAAAACAATCTATTGAAACAACAACTGATCTAAATATAGTCTAATAATAATAATAATATTGATTGAATTGTGTTAACACAACAAATGATAGGACAGTCAGTCGTGTGTGGGATAAAAAGCAATATCTAATTAGTAATGACACGGTGTGAGCCATACCTGCATAACAATCAATAGGTCCATAACGAGTATGGATGAGGCGAGGAAAGCGCGGGACAGTTCAGTGCTGGCGATGAGGTCTTTGTTGAGATTATCCCAATTGATCTTA